AAGGAAGCATCTTTACTATTAGCCATTTTGCCACCCTTGAGCGCTCGAAACTTTAGCCCTGTCATTCGTGATCTTTAAACTTTTCCCATTTGAAAACTATTATAGCCTCGACATTTTCGTATGAAAATTTTCGTTTTAAAATGTTACAAAGAATTTGTCATTAAAATATTTATCGCAAATTTAGGAACACCCTATATATGTATAGATAAATAAATGAACAAAAATATAATATAAAATAAAAAAATAAAAAAATTCAATTCTCTAGTCTAAAATCGTCGCAACAGTTTAATCTTTTTTCGCGCCCTCGACACTTTCCTTTTTCCGCGGACGAGATTTACATCAATATTTCGCTCCCTGAGAAAAGCGCGAGGGACATGTGCATTTTTGCGTGAAAATCGCGCTTGTAAACGCACGTTACCGAGTATCGAATATTTCAACTCGGAAAACGCGCGATACACAAGCCCTCATGGAAGGACACGGGGGCGGTGTATACGGAAGGGCGGTCTGTGACATCGAAGCCGGCATGTCGGGTTTGGCACGATGTTTGCCGAATACAGTCAAAGTGCATGTGAATTACCGCATTAACCTGGACTCGGTGGATCTCGATATGTATGCGTGCGTGCGTGCGTGTGTATGTGTGTGTATGTGTGTGTGTGAGTGTGTGTGTGTGCGCGTGAATATGCGCTGCCGTTGATTGGCGCAACGCGAGCCGCGTAATTAAAACATTCTTGTCACCGGACGGATCGTCAGCACAAACAGGAGTGCCCATCATTTCGATTTGAATTCATTTGGCGGTTGAATTAATTAGCGTCGCCGGTTTTCGTTTCACCGACGTGTCGGATGTGAGGATCCTGAAAGCGAGCACAACGGACGCCTCTGTCTGAAATATTGATGCATGCATGATATACTTGCCGAAAAAACACCCACAAAAATTTCGAAACGAGACTTTTATCCCATGAGCCATAGCAGTCATGGCTAAAATAGCGTCTTTTCGCAACATATCGAAAACGATCTTGCATTCTGTAAGCTTGCGAAGTGCTCGTAATGAGTTTAAAATACTATGATTTAATCATTATCCTCCCAATCTCGCTCCATCACTTGAATCTTCTTAATAAAAGTATAGATAATTTGACAAAATCAATTTTCATGTACTATCTTCTTTTTTTTTCAAACTCTACGATTAAATAAGAGTCTTTAATTACGACTTTTGTGTATTGTAAATTTTAATAAGCGTAAATTTTTAGCGAGCATTCACATTTCTAGAGGAGAAGAAACATACGTGTAACCCGCAGATTGTTATTTATTGTTACATAATTTTCTTTGCTAGCTACTCGCTCAACTTAACGTCGTGTTAAGAAGCTATTCGACGCAGTCGAGACCGATTCTGAGCTTAGTCTGCCAACATTCTCGCATTTGGAGAGCTAATAAATAGTAGGAAAACGACCATCGGCGAAGAGAGGCTTCGCATAAATAATCCGGTGACTCTGACAGTAGAGTCACTGGATTCTATGCAGTGTCCCGGCTGCATAGAAATTTTAGAGCGTGCTCTAACCATGACGAGTGCCATGTTTTATGGAATGTTCAACCGCATTTAAAGCCCGACGCGACAAGTCCCGGTACAAGGGTACTTAAAATTCGGCGAGTATCTCGACCACAGATCTCTCGTATATTTGTCCGGTGTACTATTTTTTTTTTTCAAGCTCATATTTACCACTTACACCTGACGTTTCTTTCACTACCATTGATAATCTATTTTTAAATGCGTGTTATATTAATAATTTTTTTAAAAACTTTTGCTATATCAAAATATATCTCTTCGAAATTTCTATTTATTCTTATATTAATTTTTTTGCTATCGATCCACTTGCTTCTTTAATTAATTCTTTAATTAATTGTATAATGTGTGCCTGTATATATTTCCGTACATGTATTTTCTTTCCAAGTTATTCTCAAGTTTGAAGGAAATAAAGAATATCGATTTATTTGACTTTTTTACTCGCTATAAAGCCGACCGGCTTTGTATTTGTAATGTAATTAGAAGCGTGGTAGAATCGGCGTGCTCAATGAAAAGCGGATTGAGAGAGAACTGTTTCTTCTGACTTTTGCTGCTTACCGTTTCCCTTTCACATTCCGGTCGTCCCTCCCCTATCGCTTTTTCTCATCTACCATTGAATCATGGTTCTTATCTTTGAGAAGTACGAAAAGCCTCGGCACTTCCCTGATTCGTGAGAAACAAAGACCAGTAGATTGAAATTCGTTTATTGCAGCCCAGCTGCTTCTATCGCGCGAGAGTTCGACGTTATTCTTTCTATTACAACGATAAGACTGGCGAGGTTCATTCACGACTCCTGCCCGCCGTTTCTTTCATTCGAGTTTCCTTTCTCCGAATTTCTTTTCTCTTTTTTTTCTCTACAAATGTAGCTAATTGGAATTGATGCTGTTAAATTATATCGCTGCTTATTAAAAATGAATTCGCTGTTCAATCCTATTTTATTACAAATATTAAGTTTAATTTGTTTTTTCTTCCTCGTAGAATGTTAGATTAATATACTTTATATATTCTTAACAAACTAAGTTCGAAATGGGAAAGTAAGTTTCATGAGAGACACAATATTATTATTACGACGAATAGAAAGAAACTGACCTCTTTTAGCTTTGCAGAATTGTTGGAAACAGGTGATGTAACAACTTTCTTTCACTGTCGAAATGTCCTTCGCTCGAGGAAAGATGAACGATCAAGCGAATTCTTCCGAGTATATTCGCGCAGAAAGGAAGGAAATGTACATGAAGAAACGGAGGAAACGAGGATGTGTGTGTCAGCTAAGCGACACTGACGTCTCTCTTGGCTGGTTGAAATTTTCGGTTACTGCGCTTAAAGAAGGTTTGAGGAGGAGAAAGAGAGATGATAAATAAGGTCAATTCTGTCCTTTCTTTTTCTCCTTCTCTCTCTGTTTCTCTTTCCAGTCGCAAAGATTCGAAAGGCGGTGGACGATGACGTTTGTCTATGCAAATTCCTGTCAGGCCGCACGATCCTGTTGAGTTTCGCGTTCTTCCATCTTTCATTTTTCCATCTATCTCCGCCATTTTTCCGACCGACATTACGCACGGGACATTAATGGAACATAGTTGACAATTTTTATCTCTCCTCTTATTGGAATATTTTATATTTGACGAAGAAAGAATTCTAGTTTCAATATACTTATGTCTTTAATATTGGACAACGATGTCGCAGATTTGATGATCAAGGAAACCGATAAATTATAAAAGAATTAAAAATAAAATGGCATAAAAGCCAACGCTCGATAGAAGTTGGAGCGCAGAGAAGCAACACTTCTTTCTTGTTTCAATATTAGTTTATTACGAAACCCATATTATAATAATAAAAAGAGAAGAGAATGTTTCGGATCATCTTTTAATCTTTCTTTAGCGCGGTGTTAACAATATGACACTAGACTCATATTGCCATTTATACCAATTTATATATTTAATTTTATATTCATGAGTCTGACATTTTTAACAATATGTATTACATTATTAAAAATGTCAGACTCACGAATATAAAATTAAATATATAAATTGGCACAAATGGCAATATGAGTCTAGTGTCGATATTATTACACTATTATATAAAATTATTATACAAAAAACAATAATAACATATAAAAACATTCATTTAATATACCATTCATACCATTTCATTAATATATCATGCATATATATCATTTAATAAGTATACATGTGACATGTTAATAAGTATACATGAATTGCGAACATTTCGACCTTATTTTTGGGTCATCTTCAGCGCGAATGTAAACGGATAAAAATAAAGAATAAAATATAGATGAGACAAAATAAAGAAAAAAATATAAATAAGACTAAATAAAAAATAAAATATATATTACAAATAGTTACTTTAAACGTAGTTACTTTACTTTAATAGGTACTTTAAATTTTTTCTGGACGCTAAATTAAATAACGCTAAATTACATCCCGCAGAGGTCCAGTAAGCGATAAATTATAACATCTAGTCTCGTCTTTTCGATTACAAAAGTCGTAAAATAATGCGCACAAATTTCTGCCTCAATCGACAGACTAGACGACAGCAAATCGCATTATCTGCGCGTAATTAGTGTCATACATAAATGAGTGAACGAATATGTTACAAAGGCGATCGAGCGAGATTATGTATGCTTTTAATAATCGAGCGGAGATGATTAATTATTATCGCACTCACTACTTCAACATTTATCTATATGCTTCCATTCTTTACTTTCACGAAATACTCTAGAAAGTTGAATATTTAATCGTTCATCGCGAATCACGATCAACGATTATTATCGACAATAATGATTAGCCTCCGTTGTCTCGCGAAATTTTACAATTTCCTCTTTTACATCTTTCATATTCGTCGATTGTCATTTATGAATGACAAATTAATACAACAAAAATTGATATACAGAGTGTTTCTTAATACGAAACATTTTAGGAGATGATTCTTTGTCGAAAATGAAAATTTTTCATATAAACTAAATGAATATATACTAAATGAAATTAGATGGATATTTTCTACTAATAAAAAGGTTATTTATTAATATATTTTTAGTCTCCCGTATTGTTATAAAGAGATAAAACTAGCAACCCCTATTCAATTTTTTATTAGAACTTTTTAATGGGCCGGAATATGATCATCTAAAGATGTGCATTAAAAATTTTGATTTATTTAGAAACTTTTTTGTTTTATTTTTTTCATAAAATCAGTAGTTTTCAAGAAAAAAAATAAAAATATGTTATCGATGCTAAATAGCATAGGTTTCGAATTACGAGAAGTTAAATTTTAAAATAAAAATAAAATTAGAGAGTATGTTGGAAAACTTCGAACAGAAACAAAATTATAATAGAAACCTAAAAAATAAATAACTTTTACTCCCATTTTTGGAGAAGTGTAACTCCACAGGAAGGAATGTAGGAGTATATATTTATATGAAAAACCCTCCTTAATTTTCGACAAAGAATCATCTCCTAAAATTTTTCGCACTTATTAAGAATCACTTTGTATATTTGTCTCATCATCAAAAAGTTTCAAAAAGATTTAAACGGATCTCCGTGTCAGATCGAATAAAGCTTATTAATTCATTCGCGCAATGTATCGGAAAAAGAGAATGCGAAGACGTATATTGTTACTCAGCTTTATGGCTTGAGAACAAGTGAAAGTGACATTCTCGCGATATCCGCGTTCTCGCTCTCGTATTTCTTCGTCCTCGGTGAGAAAGGATCTTCCCGACCGGAAGACATGAAATATTTGCCGAAGATGGTGGACACGGCCAATCTGCGCGGACAGCCACCATAAAGAAGAATGTCATCGCGAATCCAGAAATGTTGGTTGTTTCCCGTGACCACGTATACACACATACACACATATACGGTCATAGAAAAAGCATGTAGCAGCAGGGATAACGCATTGCTGTAAACTTTGCACAGGAACGGCTTTGTTTCGAACCATTTCGTAGCGCAAAAGCGTATCCGGATATATTCGATGGTGCGTTTTAACGTTGAATCGGATTGGAGGTATCATCGTGAGATTACTTATTGCCTTTGTTTTATATACTTCTTCGGATTTGGGAAGGGCCATCAGATTTAGCCACAATATTATCAATATGCCTGGATATATCCGACAATTCGCATGGACCATCATATTCACCGATGTTTTCAAAATCCGATGACGGGTTTACATCAAATCTTCTCTCTCTGAGATACAGTAACATATAGTTATGCGCACTATCAAATTTTTTAAAATTATTTATTAGTTGGAGGTGGCTCCTTCTGAGAATATCTCTATCACTTGGCCTAGAGTGTAAAGAACTGCTTGCGTTGTAGGCTAAACTATATGTTGGCTGTCTTGAAGGGCCTGGTTGATGAGGATAGCTGGTTGATGGAGCAACATATGTATATTCAGCATTTCTACCAGGATGTAAAAAATTGCTTGCATTATGACCCATATTGTAGGTTGGTGGCTGTTGATTTCTGCTCGATGTAGTAACTTCGGGATTTCTGCTCGATGTAGCAACATTGGGATTTCTGCTCGATGTAGCAACATTGAGATTTCTGCTCGATGTAGCAACTTCGGGATTTCTATCAATATTTGGAAGACTGCATGAACTATACGATCTGCAAAATGAGAAATAAAAACTTGATCATTAATCAATATTTTAAAGTCTTGTTTGAATGTTCACAATATATAATTATTAAGTCTAAGCTATTATTGTTAATAAAACACTTTAATATAAATATCGATACACAATCTAAATTTGTATAACAAATTTTATGACTAGTTGCTTATTTATTGCTGATAATCTCATTGTTTGTAGAAAAATTACAGAAAGAATTAAATAATCGCAAATATTATAATGTGAATATTAACAACTATCAATGTACATTTGTACAAGATTTTTCAATTACCAAAGATTATTTCTGTTAAAGGATTTACGTAAACTATCACGTTAATAAGAAAACAAGTTGTGGAATATTATTATTAATCAAAGATTACAATAATTAATTTTTGTGTGTGCGCGTGTGTGTGTATGTTGGAATAATTATAAATTAAAATTATATTATGTTGCATATTTAAAAAGTCATTTTATTTAGGGAGATGAATCAATTTTATATTACTTTTATTATATATCTATACAATTAATGTATCATAATACATATTAACAAATTGAAGCTGCGTAAAAATACGTGAAAATCTAATATTTGTTTAAAAGATTTTTCTTGCAGAATCTATGATAGATTCATGTCATATGATATAAAGAATAATAAATATAAATATAATATAAAAATATAAAAAAAATTTTATCTCTTATATCTTTGTTGATGCTTGATAAATATAATTATATATAAAACAAGATGTTTATTTGCAAAAATATGTAATTATATTGTAATTATATTGTAAGATTGCTAAATGTAATTATATTGTAAGATTGCTAAACGTTACATCAAAAAGATAAAAATAATTAATTATTTATCTGAGGTCAAATTAAGTTTCTTTTATTTATTTGAGATTATTTAGATCATTAACATCAAAATTTATTTTGTATAAAACACAATGGGAAGCTGATATCTATTTGACATCGCAAATTACAGTATTTTTTTTAGAATTATTAAATTAACTGTTTGAACACTACTCGATCTGCAAGAAGAAAGAGTAATAATTGTTGGATTAATGAATGTTATAAAGAATGAAACTATATGGACGGTACAGTTGCAGTTTGCGCGGAAAGTGTCGACTTTTATGAAATACGGCCTGGCAAAAGTTTGCCATGTAGGACCACTGAACCGCTGACACCTGCAATCTGCATTTTCGGTTGCATTCGAGATGCATATGCTGGTATATCCGTATTTTACGATTATTCACGTGCCATTGTCTGTATGACGAAAAATGTTGCAATGCGCATGATGCTTTTTTCGACATCCATGCTATTGTCTTACAAGGGAAGGATCAGAGCTGTCCCTCTCCAATTTGAATATGTTATAATCTAAATGAAAATAAGATATATATATTTTTTTTATTTATGGTCATTAATAAATAATTTACATATTGTAACTTTTTTATTATATTATATATAATTTATATTACAGCAATATAAAAATTTGTTATATAAATTTATATTGCTTTTGTATCTCCTCTGAGATAAATTTAAACTTAATGGGCAAGAAAGGGGGATTACGATTATCAATTATCATCAATTATCGAGAATTGATTGTGAAATGCCATTTTGGAAACTCCAACAGTAGGCGAGGATTAATTTAAATTTGATATCTGATAAAGATTCATGTTTTATTGTGCATAATTAATGGCACATGCAATGCTTCAGATTTAATTATCTCCAACTTTTCTTTTCCCAGCATCATTCCATGTTTCCCGAGACAAATATCAACCACCGCAGCTTCCTTTGCAGCAATCCCGCCGATATCCAAGTTGGGAATGTCGATAAATCAGGTTGGTGTTAGCGGAAAGAGCATTATTTACGTTCGATCCGGCGGCGAGTTTAGAAGTTTTAATAGCTCAATGACATTTGTTTCCGGATTGGGGCGAACGCGCTTGTATAACGCATATTGGAGAAATCTCTACTTTCTCTCTCTCTCTCTTTTTCTCTTCTTCTCTTTCTTTCTGTCATCTTACTATCTTATCCAGAGAAAAGTTTCACAATCGAAGTTATCTGAGTTGTTTATGACGTCAGTAGCTCGCTGCAATAGTCCATCTTTCAAGCGCGAGTGTTATGACATACTTTTATATTATCACCACTTTAGTCATCTATCCGCTTACAACATATGCGTCACTTTTCTAGCGAGTAAAGTTGCGATATAAAATCGAATATGCCAGCTGGTCGATTACTTTTACGAAGTACGAAGTACACGAAAAGCGCCGCATTTTTCCGTAACTTCTTTGACGCTCTGCGAACTGATTTTTCCATTAATGAAGGCATTTAAATGTCGGAAATGTGTGACAGGATTTTAAATAGCTGATTAAATATAATTTTTCGGTAAATCGCGATTGCGTGGCGCATACTTCATTTTGAGATTTAATTTGTGACCAATTGTCAGAACGTATAATGTCGCAAATTAGACAATCGCGACAAATAATGGCTCGTTATCACTTTTTTGCATTTGTAAAAAAAATGGTAATTTTTCACAGACATCAATTCTCGACCTGTCCACTCGCAGAAAATATTCAAGTATGCATATGACTTAATATAAGTCCGCTTATCGATTCTTATCAGACGCGTCATGCTACCTGGCTGACTTGCACAAGACTATTTTGTAATATAAAAGCGCGTTTCTCTCGCATGCCCTTCGCGTTATTAATTATTCATCTCGTGCCATGAGGGACGGCGACGTAATGAGCGTCTATGCCCCCTCATCTCTCTCTCTCTCTTTCGCGCTCTTTCTCTTTCTCCTTCTCTTGCTCTCCTTCGATCTTCTCATTCACATGACGCTTCTTCATCCATTCTTGCCTCGCGCGCGCTCTCCTGCTCGAGAAAGTCAAGAAAGATTATTAATAGCCCGCTCTCGCGTGAATTATCGTGCGCTCTACGAGATATCGTCGCGAGCACGTGCGATATTCAGCGACTTGACTTCGCGTAGCTTGCAGCATTAGCGCCTGGCGCAGCAACGAGAAAATATCTGACCCAGTAGAAATTGGGTTGCACCTCGAGATGCTCCGTTGCATTAATATGAGATCAGATGCCTCGCATCGGTGGCCCATCTTCCGCGTTATATCCCACGAGTTCATCGATCCGTCGCTCCACTCGAAAATTTAAATTGTATCTTTTATTTTTCCGGGAGGTGGGAAAAAGAAAAATTGAGAGAAGAAATCGGTAATTGCAAAAATCCCTCATAGCTGTAATTATATTTCTAATTAATACATACACGCGCACATACGTAGGTATACATATATATAAATATACTTATACAGAGGTCTCATATGCAAAAGTCAAACTATTAAATGTACAATGCAAATTGGCATCGTTTTCGTAATTGAGAAAGTCGTTCAACTTCACGTGACATACTTGCATAATTTTAATCAGCGACCTATTTCCGTACAGATATTATCCAACAAATAAATATGTATACAATAATGTATATTCTCAACATATTTAACTAACTCTCGTCTATGCGACCGCGTTACATTTAAATATCCTTTACGAGGGCTTCGAAGGTTTTAATGGCATGGTGCTCGAAAAAGCGGAAGTATGTCGGCACATCGGAAGTAAAAAGGGGAGAAAAATAGAGGAAGAAAATTTTCTCCCTCTTGCTATCTCTTTCTCTCTCTCTCTTCGTGAGATGCGCAGGAATATATTCCCGTCCCATTCGCCAATAAAGGCGATACAAACGAGCTCATTATGCGGAAAAGGGGCGACGGTTTTAGTGAGGAGCGCCGGTGGTGCAGCCACCGCGAAAACCAACTCTCTTCTCAGAGTCTCCCAGAGTTCTCGACAATCTGGCTCCTCGGCCGTTCCCGCGGCGATAAAGATAAAGGAACGACGAACCGACCAGGCTGACGTAAACGCGGCACCATAACGCTCTCCTATCGCGCGCATAACGTTCGAACATTAATTTGCATTCGCTTCCTGGCCGCGGCTCCTCATACGAGACAACGGAGGCGCCCCAGATGGGCATGCAATAACCAATCGAAGAGAATGTTCCTCATATCTCTATTTTATCATTTTTAATAATTTTTAGTAACTAACATAAATAAGAAGAAACTTTTTTTAAAAAAGAACCAAAGAAAGTATTTTATTCAATTTTCTCAAAATTGTAATGTTGTAGAATATTTCTTGGACTAAAATTATAAGCTATGTGTTTTACATCTTATTAATAAAAATACTTAATTAGATTTTTGTAATTGTTAACATGCGTTGACTGTAATAAAAGCAATATAAAATAGCTATCTGATAGATAAAATGATATTATTAAATAAATAATATACTTTTTAATATTTAATTATTTCAATATATAGTTATTATTATAATCTTGAATTAATATATTCTTCACTTTTCCTCTTTCTTGTCAACTTGAGGATTTACGCTAATTATTTTGACAGAAGTAATAGTTGCTACTTTACAGATATAGATTCATAGACAAATTTATCTTGTAGAGTTTTTATTTACAGTTTTTAATCTCATATTCATCGTAATATTTATGATTTAACTTTTTCTGTAATGTTTTAAATTGATGAGATTATCAGCAGTGAAAAACTAAATAAAATTTCTTAGATAGATTGTATATCAACAATATTTATATTTATACAAACTTATATAAAAACTTTTTCCGCGACCTTTCCTTGTTTCTTTAATAACGTCTATATTTTTCGTTAAAATTATTCTTCGTTTGAATTTAATCATATACAATCTATGATATAAAGTGGACATCATGACTAAAGAATTCTTTCTATGTACAAGGAGAACGTATTTCACAAAAGAATTTAACGTTGCAAAGTGCAATATATGTGATAAAAATTAAAATCTTAATATGTCCAATAAAAATGTAAAAGAACGTAAAAATTGAACATAGAAATGGTAGTATTGTTACTTCAACAGTTTCAAGAAAAAATAGAAAATAGCCCTATTCCATTTCTATACAAAACAGCGCAAGAACATCGCAAGAAC